GGGGATGCTTGGAGGATGCACCACTATGGGCGGATCTCGCCTCGTGAGTACCGACACCCGTGTGTCTGTGTGCGCGTCGCTGCGGCTGCGAGTACGTACGCCACCGCACGCAGGCGTGCTCAGGCTGCCAACGGCCGGAGTTTCGAGGGGTTATTGCCGTGACCCAATGCACACACTGGTCTACGCCTCAATTGGAGGATGCCTCATTGTCTCACTGGCCCTGTTGGTCCTGTTTGGCGTCGTGCTTGCTCCCTTGTCCCTCCTCCGCCAACGGCATTTTCTGTACCGGCATTTTCGACAGCAGCACCACCACCACCACCACCAGCAGGGCACATCAATGGAGGATGAGCGGTCCACCGCGGCCGCGTTGGTGGAGTATCTGGTGCAGAGCATCAACGGCTACGACAGGGAGGTCCAGGCCGTGGAAAACTGTGGCGAAAGGACCTTCCGAGCCCCGACAGCCGCCGGCAGCCCGGAGCGCCTGTTTTCGATGTGCGTGCCGCAGACCAGAAACATAGTGAGCGACGCTATTAGGAGAGGTCGGGGAGGATGGGAGAAGGAACAGACCATGGCCAGCGCTGACAAAATGAGGGTGAAAAGGGGCGGGGCAGGAGGGTGCGGAAGGGCAGATTATGGAGTGTGTCTGTTGTGTGTTCAGGAGTGCGGGTCCCCCGGTGACGCTCGTTGCGTGTTTGTGGATGTGGGCGTGGAGGAGGGATGGTACGCTCTGAATATCGCAGCACTGGGGTATAAAGTCATCGGTACAAAGACATACAGTACGCACAGAACCATATATATATATATAGCCCTGTAGATATATGATGGATGTTGCTTTGCAATCTCTTGTATCTATCGCTGTCAACATGTGGATGTGTGTCTGTCTGTATGTCTGGTGCAGGCTTCGAGGCAATGCTTCGCAACATATACGCGACCACAAGGTCCGCACACCTGCCCGCCAACAGCTTTGAGGGCTCCGCCATCCCGGATATCGAAGTATACCCATTCGCAGCGGGAGACAAGTACGAGAGGTGAGAATGAATGGCCCAGACACGCGCGTCATTACGTGACCTGACGTCTGGTGCTTTTCGGTGACTGTTCAGATGCCTTGTCGCGTCAGGTAAGTGGCATCACATCAAGCTGATTCAGAATGATCTCTGCCTGCACCTTTTCTTCCCTCGTGCAGACGCTGGAAACACCCTAGATGGTCAGTTAGTTATATACCACACACATATGTATTCAGATGGCCAGAGTGTGTGGGCGGTGCTGTGCAGGTCATACTTTGTGCGGCAATTCTTCTTCTGATGTGCTCAAGAGGAACGGCCTCATACGCCGACACGATGTATGGATGGATGGATGGAACAGTGGCCTCAGTGCCTGTTTGCGCGATATTCGTGTTTCTTTGATTGATCTGCAGGTGCAGACGGTGTTGTTGGACGACATGCTGGCTGGTGTGTCGCCCTGGATGATGAAATTGGACGTCGAGGGAGCCGAACTTAAAGCCCTTCGAGGTAGGCGCACCCAGCCAGATACATCAATCAATGGCTGGCGTGGGTCCATTCTCCTCTCCGTCACAATGTCAATAATCAGGTGCCCGTGACGTGCTGAAGCGTGTTAAGTATGTGTTCCACGAAGTGTCCAGGTACCTAATATATATCGCTTCAGATACGAAAGCCACATTCATCGAACAAACATGTATCGTGTCTGTCGTCATGATATAATGACAGGATACTGCTCGCGGATGCGGGTGACACGCCAGAGGGCGTGCTTGATTTCTGGCAGGGGATGAATTACTCCTGCCGACCCTCCAAGTCAGTCTCGCGTACGGACCTCCGCACCATGCTCACGAGACGAGATGTCGGCACAGACATACTCTACACCAACCTCAATCCCCGACAGCTGATTATCTAGTGGTCGGTGTGACTGAGTTGGCTGTGCTGCGGTCGGTCGGTGTAATTACTTAATGTGCGTGGGTGGGTGGGTGGCTGGATGGTCTGAAGCGTATACATGTAGACGACTGTCTGCCTATGCGTTACTAACGTGTCTGTTTGCTGGGCATATCCCCCCGGTGGATATGGGATCTGATCTATGTGTGTGAGTCACTGATGGATGAGTGTCTTGGTGTCTGTACATACCTTTTCTCCGTGTGTACCAGTGCGCACTGTTCTGTAGCGGATCGTCAAGTAAGACAGAAGCGCTTCTCTCTGCCCGGACTGACTTACTGACTGAGTGACTGACTGACTGACGGGAGAGAGGGGCGGACCATTGGAGGGAGGGGGCCCGGCCTGGTTTGCCTGGGGGCCATATTTGTGTGTGTGTGTGTGTGTGTGTGTCCATATTTGTGTGCCTGCCGCTTTACTTACACATCGCATTTATTGGACGGCGTATTTGTGGGTCTTGTCTTGTTTGATCCGGAGAGATAGGTGCGTGCAGTGAGTGCTATATATGTCATTCCATCGCAGACAGGGAGGGCAGCGGGGAGGGGGCGGGCCTGCCCATGCGGTGAGTCCATTTGTTGGTGTGGGTGTGTGTCTGGATTGGTATTTGTCCGCCAAGCATTTGTATGTGTGTCGGTGTGTGCACGGATCAATCGCATGGGACAGAATTTTCCTCCGTCTTGGCTGGCTGCAGAAAGAGGCCAGGGGAGAGGGCAAGGTCGGTGCCATACCGGCCTTCGCGCATGGCATTTTTTGGCGGCATTGGACACCTTGTTCGCGTATTGGTTTTGGTAGGCCCCGACGTGTGGCTGGGTCGGATTGTAGTTTATGTGTGAGTGTCCTAGACAATAAAGAGTCGTTTGTGTGTATTGGTGTGGTGGCGGGTGCCGAAGGGCTGCCTCTCTCTCCCCCTCCCTCTCCCTCTCCCTCTCCCTCTCCCCTGTCTGATCAAGTTGATTCTGCCTGTGTGTGTAGTGTGCGGAACGGAACTATGGGGTGCCTGCTGCTGTGTGCGTATACATACGGCTGCTGCAGTCAGTGTGCAGACGTCGGTATCTGTGGTGACTGTCTGTGCATTCGTGATCGACTACCTACAGGTGCAGTGCACCAAATGCCGCGATGTGCGTGCAAATGGCTGGCCCTGTCTGTCCACTGTCTCGATGGATGCACTAAACTCCATGTACGTGTGCACGTCTTTTGCTGAGTACGATCACACACACAGGCAGAGAGAGAGAGAGAGAGAGGCAGTGGATGCGTCATGCTGGCTTTGCTGGTTGGCTTCCATACGTTTGCTCCAGCCATGAGAAGTGGGCCGTTTGGTGAGGACGGGCCGCACGGGCCGCTGCTGCTGCGACACTTTCAATGCGTGTCAAGGTGACTGATTGGTGGTGGGTTGTTGGATGCCGTACGGAGTCAGTTGTGATTCATGGACCAGTGCCATCCCATGCCGATCCTTCCTCTCATTGAGCTCGTTTTACCGTCACGTGTGTCATCACGAGCCAATCAATGCATGGTGCATTTTGATCTTGATCGAAGCTATCGCAGAGACGTTTCTGTTTGTTGTAAGAATCACACAATTGCATTGCACGCGAGAGACATTTGCGTGAAATAATGTGTGTGTGTGTCTGTCTCGCGACAAAAGCAGCATACCTGTAGGGCTGTGCGCCATACCACGCCACACCACACACCACACGCACCCTTGTCTACCAAAACGAACGCATGCGCTGCGCTTGAGCCGGGCAGGACTCACCATGCAGCTCGTCCATACGGACCATCACTCGACCACCACCTCCCATGTGATTCCCCCTTCGACCCCATCACTCTCGATGATGCGATAGTTCCGATCTCTGTATCTCTGCGGCATGCTGGCTCTCGCCTCTCGGGTGTCCCTGGCCACTTCCATGCGCACCTCGATGTCCCTCGGAAGCTTCACCTGCCAGTGGTCGTCCGGGAATGATCGGTGGGTGCCGGCGGGCAGCGAGTCCAGCATCACACAGTAGGGGAAAATGTCGTCTCGCATGTGGCCGTATGGGAAGGAACACCTGATATCCAACGACGCCAAATCCTACACACACACACACACGCACAGAGAGAGAGAGAGAGAGACAAAGAGCAGGCATCCCTTTCTCTCTCTCTCTGTGTGAGTGTGTGTCTGTCGGCCTCCCCTGATTGATTGCAAAAGTACCTCTGTGCTGACGTGTCCCTTCATGACGGCAATGATCGCCTTGGTCTGGTGCTCCATGACCTTGAAGATCCCCGGCCCGAACTCCGGCAGGCCCAGGAAGAACAGGCTCGACGGGTGCTTCCGGTGAAACAAGTGCAGATGCAGCGACTCACGAAAGGCGCCCTCGGGGGAGCGCATCGTGCACTCGGAGGGGAAGAGACCACTCGACTCCGAGAAGAAGGGGAAATCTGCACAGCCACTCAGCCACGCACTCTGCACCAACGCACTTGAGTCCTGCCTGCTCGCCTACCAAATTTGTAGCCGGTGGCGTAGATGACAGCATCAACGGTGTCTTGGCTTGTGACGAGCTCGCCGGCTGCCCCCTTCACGATATACCGCCCGCCCTTGTCCAGCCCCTCCAGGCGGCCGACCGGCCACACACTCGAGGGCAGCTTGCCTCTCGCTGACGCGGCTGCGTCGGGGTCGCTGAACGAGGTGCCAGACCAGACCACCTTCCTAGCGAGGCTGTGAAGCTCCCACACCAAATCTGTTCAAAGCATACATACCATCGGCGGTTGGCAAGCATCGCATCGATCAACAGGGACGGGCCAGTGGGGTCAGTCAGTCAGTCAGTGTTAGGTAGGCACAGGACTCACTCACTGACCTTTGCCGCTGCGCCCCTCGCCGACGAGCAAAACGCGCTTGTTGGCGAATGGTGAAGGGGAGCGGTACTCTTTGGAATGGATGGCGACACCAGTGAAATCGTTCTTGAGCAGCGGTGGGTAGTGCGGCACGTTGTAGTGCCCATTGGCCACGACCAGCGCCCCAAACACCTCCTCTCCGTTGACCAACCAGCTGTAATACAACACACACACAGACATGCTCACAGACAAACAAATGTGCCGCCCTACCTACCGCCCTGGTGGTCTGCCGCCATCCCCCTGCCAGTCCGTCCCCGGCACGTATTCCGCCGACCGCACCGGTGTGGAGAGGGCGATCATGTGATAAAGGTTGAAGTGCCGGGCGTAGGCCTGCAGGTAGTTGAGTACATCCTCGTGCTTCATGAAGGACGGGAGGGCGGCATCGAAGGGGAAGTCGCTGTACGCCATAACTTCCTTGGGCAGGTTGGTGTGCAGGCTCTTGTACAGTGCGCCGCGCGTGGGAGAGTCGCTGTAGACCCACACGCCACCGATCTGGTCAGAGGCCTCGAAAACCTTGACCCGGAAACCTGCATCGCGCAGCAGTCGGGCCGCCACCAGACCACCTGACAGACACAACGCAGCAGCAAACAGGCAGGCAGGACAAACAAACAGACGAAGAAACAAAACAAAATGGTGATCGCGTAGGCACCCTGCCTCCTGCCAGTGACTCCCACCTCCTCCAGCCCCGAGGACGGCCACGCTCTTGCTGTCGTCGCCATTGCACATGGATGGATGGATGGACTCGAGTCTGACGGTCCGAAGACGCTCACAACTGCTCGATTGGCCGGCACGTAAACGTCAGATTGAGGGCATCTGGTCGGTTTTCAAAACTGCTGGGGTCAATTGGCTGGGGTTTAGGGTTAGAAAACCCGAAACCCTGAATCCCGCACATGCGATTGGCTCACCACCAGTCGTCAGGTGACTTGCTGCCTCTGTGTGTCGGTGTCGTGTTGTGCAGGTCGGTCTTGGTGACGGGGCGGCTTGTTTGAGCGCCATTGTACCATTTGACTCATAGCTAGGTGGGCGAACACACACACAACACCTGCAGCAGGTGTCTGCCCATCTCTTGTCGCCTCTCTGTGTGTGTGGTCGGTGCAGCTGTTGGTGTCTGTTTGAGTGACATGTCCGAGGGTCAAGACACCCACATGGCCTCTGCTGCGGACACAGAGGCCATGTGGGTGCAGGTGGCGACGCAGGTACGCCTCTGTGACGGTGGCGACGCAGGTACGCCACACACAGAGAAGAGGACAACAAGGGTGGCGGGCAGCCAGACGGGCAAGACGACAAGAACGCTGACAGTGGTGAGTCAACAGCACGCCACACAGACTGATCAACACATCAGCGGCCAGCAGCACACTCATTCTTGCTTTTGCTGACGAATGTGTTGGAATGTCTTCGTTTCAGATTTGTTGCGAGAGGAGGAGGATGGTGAGATGGCCGAGGAGGAGGAGGAGGAGGAGGAGGAGGAAGGTCTACAGGCGGCAGCTGATAGCGAATCCGAATCGGTGAGTCACTCATTGACAGCACCAACCGCCCCGTGCGACGAGCGTCAGCGGGTTTCCTCTCTGTTCCTGTTTGTTGCGGCAGGATGGTGTGCAGGACGACAGTGATAACGACGATGGGCCGCTGGGCGACGGCATCGATGACGACGACTATGACGACTATGACGACGGTTATGAGGAGGACGGTACGCCAGGCAGTCAGACAGACAGAATGTGATCCGCACACACATTCCTTCACTGTGTGTGTCGTGTGGTGGCTGTGTGTGTGTGTGTTGCAGGCCATCCTGTGGTGGTGGCCACCACGGTTGAGGTGCCTGACGGCTTCGGGGGAGCCAATGACATCGAGGCTCGTTTCCCCCACGACACGGACAGCCTCACCAAGGAGCTGACGCTGGGCATCATCGGCCGCACCATCTCCGCCCCGCAGCACGCGACCGACCTCATCGAGCAGGGTGCCGACCCCCATGTGGTGCCTCGACTGCGGCAGAAGGGCAGCGGGTGTGCTGGCATTCCCTACTCGCTGGTCCATCTCGCCATTGACAACAAGTCGGATTATGCCGTCCCGACCATCCATGCAAGTGATGATGGTTATGAGCGTCCCGTCGCCCTGCCACACTGGTCGTCTGACAAGCTGCAGTCGGCCATCCTGGCCGCACTCATCAACCAAGGCGCCGACCCCAACGCGACAGCCGATGACGAAGAGGACCTCGTGCGGCCCATTCGGCGGGCGATTGCATCCGGCGATCAGACGGCATTCGACGTGCTGACGGCCCGCCCCGACATCGACCTGCCTGCACAAGACGGCGCAGTAATGGTGATGGCGCTGCCCCGTCCCCTGAGTGACCCTCCTCCAGACTACCAAGAGGTGCTGCTGTCGATGTTTCGGGAAGTCATCGCACGAGACCCCACCCTCGCCACCGAACGACGTTTCGATGAAAACCTGGTGCACCTGGCAGCCGTTTGGGCCAAAGGGAACTATCCCCAGTCCTTCATCAACAGCTACCTCGACCTTATCACGACGAACGGGGCCGACATGACGGCAGCCAGCGGCGGTGGATGGACGCCACTGCACGAAGCGGCATTGCATGACTCTCTCTACGTAGCCGACTCCCTCTGCCGCAAGCTGCCCGCTGCTGACCAGATCAACAGACGGACAGTCCTCGGCGAAACGCCCCTCGCCATAGCTACCGGATGGCTCGATCACCACACCCAAGAGCTGCAGGACCCGGAGACGCCCGAGGCCGACAAGGAGGAGTGTCGCGCCGGGAGTGACAAGTACAAGCTGATCATCGCAGCCTGCTGCGGGCGGGGGCCGACATCAACACCATCCCCACGGCCACAGAGGAGAACCGCCGTGAGCGCCAGCTGGTGCTGACGGAGCATGCGGCGGTGCTCAACGAGCTGCCTACTGCCGTCATAGCGGCCGTCAACGCCGCCCTCACCCCTCACCGATGCCTACACGCCACACGTGTGTGTGTATGTGTCAGGATTACAACCGCCACGATCCGTATTGGTCATGCCACAGCGGCGGCGGGCCGCTGTGGATCGAGCTCAAGTCGTACCAAAACATGGCACTCAAACTCGTCAGCATCGACTGACAAAGAGACAGACAGACAGACAGACAGGCGGCCAACTTTCCTTCTTGTTGCGCTGTGTGTGTGGCCGGGCCGCTTTGATTGATTGACTGATGCATTAATTGGGGGGCGTCTTTATCTGTACACTCTGTATGTGTGCACATGCCTGTGTGTGTATATGAAGGCAGCAGATGTTTTCGCAAATCGAAGCCATACAGCTTTCTCTACATGTGGATGTCCTCTGTTCGTTCGTCGCTTTCTGACCATGCCATGTGTGCCCGCCTGTTCATAACGCTCTGTAAGGACTATTGAGATCTGAAACCGCCCATACACAGTCATCGCTGGCCGCGGCCAGGATGGACATATGATGTGCGAGTGGTGTGCGAGCTGCAGCGTAAGAATCGTTGGTTTGACGGTTGCCGCAGGGGACCTTTCATCCGCCATTTGCATCATCTTCAACGACGTCCTCGGGAGATAGACGTCGTTCTGGCGAGTTGCCTTCGCGGCGCCATCATCATCCGTGTTTGGTGAGATCTTGGCATGCTGTCGAGTCGATGCAAAAGGTGCAGAGATGCGTTCGGGGCATGCCGCGTGTCTCGCTGGTTTGCCCCTTGTTTGAGCTCCGCTTACCCGAACACTGGCCGAAACAAGGTAATAAGTGTAAAAAGCCTTAGGTCACTCCGCTTTATTGCTCGAAGAAAACGCATTAATGGGTCAGCCATGGAGGGTCAAGTCTCAACCCACGCGAAGAGGCACGTGGCCCGGCGAGTTCGATCCGTCTGCGGCCCGGATGATTCGTGTCTCATGGTTTCTACCATTAGTACTTCTGTGCCTTGCTCCTCGCTTCCTCCTCTTGTGCCTCTTCGCTTCTTTGCCTCTTCCGGCTCTCCTGCAGGAGCTCCGGGGCAAACTCTTCCACCAGGCTGTAGGCATGTGTGTCATTCAGCTGCCGCACAGCATCACTGACGCGCAGGCATCGCCTCGCATCGTCAGGGAGGCTGAATTCGAGCAGTCTGAGGGACGGCATTTTCCACATCTCTTCCCGGAGCACCTCTTTGTCTTCGCTCGTCACGAGCGCCAGACGGGCTGACTGAATGAGACACATGATCTGTTTGGTGACACACACACCAGGAGAGAGACACACACTTGTACCATCAATCAAGGCAACTGAGCGCGTACTGAGTCCATGTAATGACCTGGTGAGCCGTGATGCCTGGGGGGTAGCTGGGGTCGATGGTCACTGATGGGGCCAGATGGGGCAGCAGCTTTTTGGCTTGGGGGTTTTGCGGGCCGTCAGCAATCCTCTCGCGCTTCGCCACGCACTCACGAGTCATCTCTATGACTTCCGGCCAAGCCTTGAGGATGTCGAACGCTATGCGCAGCGGCTGCCAGGGCAGCATCTCCTTCTTGAAGCCGCTCTCCTGCTCTACGCCCTCGACCATTCTGCCGCGGAGCTGCTCGAGTGCCACTGGCTCGAGTGTGGCGGCGCCATCATTAATGTTGACATCGAGGACCTTTTTGTAGATCATGCCCATCCTCTCGTGCACCTTGGCCTCCTCGTGAATGGCCTTGACGAGATTGAATTCGGCGGTTGGAAGACTGTCCTTCCTGTCAAAAAGAGAGCTGATCATCTTCTTGCAGTTTCCGATCATGCCTCTTTGTCTCGCCGAAGGGGCATGCCGGAAGCCAAAGGATTGATAGTAGAAGCCTGACATGCACATGCCGACGAATTGAACGGATCGATGTGCATGTCAGAGCCTGTGCATCATCTGCGCGTACCTGCTTTTGAGAGCACATACATCTCCTTGATGCTGCTGGCGTCATCGATTGTCACCTCTGTGCAGCCGTACGCAGGCGAAAACTGGTCAATCCATGAGAGCATTGCGATCATAAGGGTATTGCCATTCAGCTTGCCGGTTTTTTTCAGACTGGACAGAGACACAATAATACATAAAAGGGCTGACAGCTTGTATTCTCGGTCATGCACACATACCCCGCCAAGTAGCAGGTGCGCGGCCCCGACCAGCTATAGATATTCAAATAGCATTCACCACCTGTCACGTCCAGCCCCTCGACCTGAGGGAGACGTCTGAGTGTTGTCGTATGGTTACGTAAGATGGATTACATACCTCCTGCAGTGACACCTCAAGGAAGGACTCAAAACCTCGGAGACGCAAGACTACATCGAGCGTGTCTTTGCCCCTTTCATCCAGGCTGTCCCTGAGCTTTGCCTGGATGCGCTTCCTGAACGCCTCAGGGACCTTCACAGAACAACTGCAATCGATGCATTCATTGCAGCGGCCAAGACCAGCAAGGGATGCCGTCTATATCTGTTCTTTTCCACCTGATGTCGATGGGCTCCTCAGGGAGGTTCTCGGGCGGTTGTGAGCAGCTCACCAGATCCCCCTCCGCGACACGAGACGAGGAGACTTGTTGACACAGCTGACAGAGGATCAGGGCGATGCAGAGCGACCAGGTATAGAGAGCCATCGGGATCCGAATCATCCGCGCCGATCAACGGGATGGAAGCAATGGGATGAGGACTTCACGGCTGCTCGTCTCTCACAAAACGGGGCGGTGGAGGGCCGCCGATGGGACTGGAACCCTTAACCCTGAAATCCTAACGCTGCAGATCACACTAATATGGCCGCCGGGCGGTTCGCGAGAGGCCAGGTAAGGACTGCATGCAGAGATGCTCTTTGCCACAAAATTTGCTCTGTGGCGCAGCACTCGTATGTACCGTTCATCTGTTGCTGTTGCTGCTCCTGCAGTATGTGTGTGTGTTGGTCGATCGGCTGGGAGGCGGCTGCACCGCCATGACGGAGGCGGAGAGGGGGCGGGGAGGGGTGAGACAGACAGACGGAAATCACAACGCACCATCACATTTGCAATGAGTGGCCTGGCCCTCCTGCCCGTGATGTGTGGTTGGTGATGGGACGCGTGTTTGTGTGTGTATGTGTACAAGTGGTTAGTATAGTTCTGTTCCTGGAACATCCCGTCTGTCTCCCACCAGGACCCCTGTGTGATCAGTGCAGTGTGTCTGTCTGTCCGTCTATCCATCAGCAGTCTATCGACCCAGTCAGCCACTCGACTCTCCTGTTGCTCAGTTACCCGGATACCGTCTCTTCTTCTTCGCTGCCGCCCACACACACACAGCCCCGCCCGCCCACTGGCAGCCCCGCCCGAGCTCGAGGGGCATGACCACCCACCCTTGCGGATCCAGTCATCAACGACGAGTTTGATGGCATTTCGATGTATAGAACCGTGGCTGTTCGTACAGGCAGCCTCACATTCAGCGGGTACAACAGAACAGGCAGGCAACGGACAGACAGACAGCTGATCGATCGGGTCTCTCCTCTCCTTTAAATACTGTATGAGACGCATGGACTGACTGCATTGCTCCAGACCACGGCCATGATACACACACATAAACTACTGCCTGCCTGCCTGCCTGAATGCAGCAATAATAATCTGAACTTATTCATCGCCGCTGGCTACAGCTCGTTTGCTAGCTACGCAACGCTAGACCTCTGCCCACACACCCCACAGCACAGGAAACACACATTAAGCACACCATGCATGGCGACCGACGTGCGGCCACTCATTCATTCATTCATTCGTTCGAGCGTACCAGTGATTTTGCCCATGGTGCTGAGGATGTTGGACACACCACTCGCCATGGCCTTGAGCGGATTGGCACTGAACAAACACAAACACAAACACACACACACACACACAGAGAGAGAGAGAGAGAGATCCACCAAGCAACCAAAGCTCTGTCTTGTGTTGGCCGCGTGTAGATCTGACCCTTCCTCCTTCTGTGGAGTCATTTCGTTGATGGCGTTGTCGACCGCCTTCAAGACCATGTTGCGCGTGGGACGACTGGCATACGTCTGCACACACACACACAGTATGGCATGGCAACCAGGCAGGAAAACACCACACACATTGGCTGGCGCGTGCGACTGTCTGTCTGTCTGTCTGTCTGTGAGTGTTTGTGTATGGGCTCCCTCACCTGCACGAGTCTGTATCCCCCCTGTGATTGGTATCGGGGATCCTAAACACACACACACACACACACACAGGGGTAGGAAGAGGATGCTTGCGATCGTATCACACAACAACTTCCTGCACACCCAGGTAGGTAGGTACCCTGTCCTACCTGCAGCCAGACGCTGTATCTGAGAGGCCAGAATCGCGCCACACAGCCCCACGAGTATACACGCAGATACCACACTGTCTCAGTCTCCTGTGTCGGTCCCACCACCACACACACACATCACTCTCTGTGTGTGTGTGTGTGCCCCTCCATCCGTCCGTCCCAGACCGTTGTGAGTTCATCTCTGAGGTTGCGCGCGAGGGCCTGGTAGTGCAGTGCAGGCCTGATGTATGTCATTCATGTTGACACACACACCACAGGCACGCCGTCAGATTCGTCGCATTCATTCGTTGGATCAGTGGATTGTTGGTGCACCCACACCGTCAGTCAGGTCGGTCAGAGAAGTACACACCCACCTGTTGTCATATCCCGGGTTGACGAGGATAATGGGCGAGTCGGGGTGCTCCTTGAGCTGAACGAACGACCACACACATACCAACATGGCCCGGCCCATTCGTCCCATCCATCTGTTGGCAGTGATGTGTGTGTGTGTGTGCGTCTGTGGTTGTGTGTGCGTGAGGGCAGCTCACTGACCTCTTCCCACAGCTGTTGCATGGGGTCAGTGAGCTCAGGGCTCAGCAGCACTATCGCCCGGTCGGTGCTGTAGTCGGGCTTGTCCCTGCACACCACACACACACACACACACAGAGAGAGAAGGAGAGAGAGGGGGGGCAGGCAGTTGGTTCCTGTGACTGTGACAGTGAAGGTGCACCCACCCAGAAGCTGAATCGTGTGAGGCTTTTGTGTTCAAAGTTTGCCTGTGTTGTGTGTGGAAGGACAGCGGCTGGGCGTGTGTGTGGAGGACGGCAGGTGGAAGTAAGGTGTTTCTGATGTCGGTCCACCTAGGGGAGCTCTAAGTAGAATACATATAGTCTCCTTCCAAAGCGCAATCGCATCGTCATCCATATGGAAGAAACGCTTTGCTTTGGCTTTGAGCAGCGTCGCCTGGTCGTGGAGAATGGGCAGCATCTTCCTGAGGACAGGCAGACACAAACAGAGGGAGATCTCAGCTGGGGAGCCTTCTGGCTGCTCCTGCCTTCGTATGTGGCCTCTCTGCAGGTGAGCCTCTCTGCTGGCTTTCTGGGGTTCGGGATTTGCAAACCCTACACCCTAAACCCTAATACTTTCGCTTTGGAGGCTTTTTCCCATTGCAAGGGGGCAGGGCGGCGGCTGACGCGCTCATCTAAACCCTAATTATGCTTGGGGCTTGCAAATTTGATGAGTGCGGTTGACAGGCAGGCACATGCTCGCATTTTGGGTTATTTAGCGGGTGCAATAGAGGGGCCCATTGGACGTTCGTACAGGCAGTGCGAGGCAGAACCTCTCACTCTCCCTTTATTTAAATACTGTATGAGACAGACTGCATTGCTCAGACCACGGCCATGATACACACACATAAACTACTGCCTGCCTGCCTGAATCATTCATTCATCGCCCGCTGGCTACAGCTTGTTTGCTAGCTACGCAACGCTAGACCTCTGCACACACACCCCACAGCACAGGAAACACACATTAAGCACACCATGCATGGCGACCGACGTGCGACCACTCATTCATTCATTCATTCGCTCGTTCGAGCGTACCAGTGATTTTGCCCATGGTGCTGAGGATGTTGGACACACCACTCGCCATGGCCTTGAGCGGATTGGCACTGAACAAACACAAACACACACACACACAGAGAGAGAGAGAGAGATCCACCAAGCAACCAAAGCAGCTGTATTGTGTTGGCTGCGTGTAGATCTGACCCTTCCTCCTTCTGTGGAGTCATTTCGTTGATGGCGTTGTCGACCGCCTTCAAGACCATGTTGCGCGTAGGACGACTGGCATACGTCTGCACACACACACAGTAATTATGGCATGGTAACCAGGCAGGAAAACACCACACACGTTGGATGGCGCGTGCGTCTGTCTGTCTGTCTGTCTGTGGGGGTGTAGTGTATGGGCTCCCTCACCTGCACGAGTCTGTATCCCCCCTGTGATTGGTATCGGGGATCCTAAACACACACACACACACAGGGGTAGGGAGGGAAGGAGGATGCTTGCGATCGTGTCACACAACAACTTCCTGCACACCCAGGTAGGTAGGTCCCCTGCCTACCTGCAGCCAGACGCTGTATCTGAGAGGCCAGAATCGCGCCACACAGCCCCACGAGTATACACGCAGATACCACACCGTCTCAGTCTCCTGTGTCGCACCACCGCACACACACACACACACCTCACTACATATATGTGCCCCTCTCTCTCTCTCTCTGTGTGTGCGCCCCTCCGTCCGTCCCTCCCCAGACCGTTGTGAGTTCATCTCTGAGGTTGCGCGCGAGGGCCTGGTAGTGCAGTGCAGGCCTGATGTATGTCATTCATATTGACAGAAACACCACAGGCACGCCGTAAGATTCCGTCAGATTCGTCCCATTCGTTGGATCAGTGGATTGTTGGTGCACCCACACCGTCAGTCAGGTCGATCAGGTAAGTACACACCTACCTGTTGTCATATCCCGGGTTGACGAGGATGACGGGCAAGTCGGGGTGCTCCTTGAGCTGAACGAACGAACGACCACACACATACCAACATGGCCCGGCCCATTCGTCCCATGCATCTGTTGTCAGTGATGTGTGTGTGTGCGTGTGTGGTTGTGTGTGCGTGAGGGCAGCTCACTGACCTCTTCCCACAGCTGTTGCATGGGGTCAGTGAGCTCAGGGCTCAGCAGCACTATCGCACGGTCGGTGCTGTAGTCCGGCTTGTCACTGCACACCACACACACACATCGGCGCATCCATGAGGGAGGGAGGGCATCACGGGAGTTCGCTCACCCCGTGAGAGCAGCGATTTTGACACACGACGGCATCAGTGACTCGGGGGTGTCAATCTGTCAGATTGACACCACACACCACACACAAGGAAGGCACCGTACGGGGCACATAGCAATCATCATAATGCCTGTTTGTGCTGCTGACTGACTGACCCGCCAATCTCTTCTCATGAGGGCGGCCCAGCCATGGTCGGGAAGGAACACACGCACCTGCACACACACACACACAATACACACACACACCTGGTGTAGAAGAACATGAATGAGCATGTTCCTGTCGCCGACCGTGCCCTCCTTCTCGCCCTCCTTCTCGGGCAGCAAATGCAGGGCGATCCGACGTAGATCTGACGTATACACACACACACACACACACAGAGAGAGAGAGAGAGAGAGCCGATGCGCATCCATCGTCAATGTCATGAATCTCGTTGTTACACACTCACAGTTGAGGACGAACTCTTGTGACTGCTTGAGGGAGTGGAACTCCTTCATCGCATCTGCACACACACGATGGCGGGCGACACCCACACACGAGTGAGTGGACGAAAGGATGGATGCGATGGGTGTGTGGTACACACACAACCGCCCTTCCTTACCTGCCGTGGGGTCGAATTCGATGCGTATCCGGTTGGTGTCGCCCGCCTCGTTGAGCATCATCAGCGTCGAGTTGACGGCAATCGCCACGCCGTCGTCCAGACTCTCCGGCAGATCTACACATATTCATTGCACATCACATCCACACACACACACCATACCCACAAGACAGACAGACACATGAGTGAAGCCACACAGGCGGAGAGAGAGAGAGAGAGAGAGAGAGAGAGACGGAGGGCAGCCCACATGCACGAACGCACCTGATGCCATGAAGAAGTCCGGGTCAGCTGTCTCTGTGGCAGTGCTGGCGGTCTCAGCTGCAGTGGCAGCCATCACTCCCGGCCGACGAACAGCAAGCCTGAATGACATCAGCCAATGTCATGGGTGGTGATTGATGGATCTGGCGTGGGCCTTACCTTCTATGCGCCCCTTGGTGGCTCAGTGAAGGCCATACAGCTGATGGCAGGAATGCCGCCGCCTCACGCAAGCCCCAACACGGGTGTGGGAGGTGCAGGAGGGACGCCAGCAGGCCCAGCAGCACCAGTGATAGCGACGGCAGGCAAGGCGGCCGTCTGGAAGGGTAGCGGGAGGGATCCATTGACTGACTGACTGGCAGGCTGGCTGAGATGCGATGATGAGAGAGAATCAAGGCCGTATGAAGGAGATCGAGGTCTTATCTGCTGCTCTCCGTCATACGCTCTTCCAAAGATCCCCTTCCCTCCTCTCAGTCATTCAGAGCTCGCATAGCAATTCCGTGAAACCGCTCCCTGTTGGCTCTCTTAAAGAGCCCCGCAGCAGAGGCAGCAGTGCTTGCCTGTGCGGGTGCATTGACACAGCACCAGATCTGCTTGGTGATGAATGTGTTTGGCTTCCTCTGGTGCTGCTTGAGGGCGCTGCTCATCTGGGGAGCACGAGTGGATGAGTGCCTCTCGTGGTGGGGATGGCGGCAGAGACCCCACGGAATACACATTGTGCTGCCGCGGCGGCAGCGAGTCAACTCGAGCGGCATCTTCTTCAACGAGACCATGTACTCAGGTATGCACACATTGCATTGACAATGGGTGGGTGAATGGATGGAGGGATTGATGCAGGGCACATTCCTGTGCGCGACAAGAGAAGCAGCCGCAGCACCATGTTCTACGTCATGTTTCCGAGTAAGAGCAACGACCCCGACAACGACAACGATCCCCTTCCCCTCATCATGTGGCTCACAGGCGGTGATCTCCCACACATGGGCCTACAGGGTATGTATGCTACACACACGCACGCACCGCCCTCTATGTATGTCTACGTGTCGACAGACAGACGTGTGTACGGTGTGGGCCTGGGTGTGGCTGGTTGACTGATTGCTTGGGTGGTCAGGTCCCGGCTGCTCATCAGAGCTTGCGTGGATCGCCGAGAATGGGCCGTTCACGCTGCTGCCCAACGGCACACTGGCCCAGAATGAGTACTCGTGGTGCGTAAACCAAGCCAAAATGCGGCTGTCTGTGAGTGGGGTTGGTTGGTTGGTTGGTTGATCAGGTCTCGCGTGGCCCACATGTTGTATGTGGACCAGCCACTGGGGGTGGGCTTCTCGCGGACGGACCAACCTCATGTGACCACCCAACGAGAGATCGCTGAGGGTGCGTGAGTGAGGGAGTGAGTGGACGTGCCTGTTGGACGCGCAGGAGGAAATGTGCACTCGTGGATGGGATGGTTCTCTGTCTCCCTCCCTCTCTCTCTCTCTCTCTCTCCCTCCCTCCCTCTCTCCCTCCCATGCAGACATGTGGCACTTCTTGAGCGGCTTTCTGGCAGAATGGCCAGAGCACATTGACAGGTACGTCCGTCCCCAGACACAAACACGTCACACACAAACACACACACACACGTGTGTTCGTTCCCCTGGGTGTGTGTGTGGGTTCCAACGAACAGGCCATTTATCATGATGGGTGAGTCGTATTCGGGCCACTACATTCCCCACATGGCCAAATACCTCATCCAGCACCCCATCAAGGGGCTGCGCCTCCACGGTAGGTTCCACACCCACACACCTAGCTGGCACCGTTTCTGCGTCATTCATCCAGCCACCCATCTGACCGTCCATTCGTTCAGGTATTGCGATCGGCAACGGGTGGGTGGACCCCCACACACAGTTCCCGTCATTTGCCGAGTACGCCTGGGCCAACCGCATGATCGACGCAGCGACATACCAAGAGGCCAAACGAAGTGGGCATCAGACAGACAGACAGACAGATCCTCAGTTGGTCAACCTGTGTGTGTGTGGTCCGCACTGATGCAGTCTTCGCGAATGAGTGCGACGCAGCGCTGCGAAGCGGCCGGTGGGAAGGGGTGGACGCTGCTTGCTACCAGACCGCCCTGCGGCTCCTCGGCGACACAAGCCCCTACGACATCAGACAGAAATGCTCCGTAAGCCAGCCACAGACAGACACGACACAATCTGTGCACATGGCGTGTGTGTGTGTGTGTGTGTGTGTTGCAGCCACCGCCGTACTGCCACGAGATGGGCGGCATTGAGAGGTTTTTCGAACGGGATGAGGTGCGGAGCGCTCTGTGTGTCGATGGGGTCTTCGATGATCGGAGTGAGATAGATGGCGGTGAGGATGGTGTTCTCGTGTCGATTAGAGGTCGTGCGCCCTGGCCCTTCTGCGACCGATGGGTCAGTCACAGCACACATACACATACACATACACATACACACACACACACACAAGGGCCACCATCCCATCTCCCTCCCTCTCTCCCTCCCTCCCTCTCTCTCGCTCTCTCTTTGTGCGTGAGTGCAGCTGCAGAGGAGTTTGCTCAACGATTCCATCAGCAGCTCGCTGGCAGCCGCGTCGTTTGTAGTGTCTGCTGGGAAGTCTGCCTTGTTCTACTATGGCGATCAGGACTTCATGTGCAATTGGAAGGGCGGCCTCGACTGGGTCAACCTGCTCACGTGGGAGCGTGCCGACGACTTCAGACACAGACCGGTAAGACACTCACACACACACATCTTCCCTCTCTCACTCTCTCTCTCTGTCTCTCTCTGTGCGTGTGTGTGTATCTGTGTGTGTGCGTCTGTGGATGGATGGATGGATGGCTGGATTGCAGTTGTGCGATTGGAAGGTCCACGGCCGCAGCGCTGGTGGTGCGTACAAGTCGGTCGGCCGCCTGTCGTACCTGCGGCTGTACAACGCGTCTCACATGGTCCCCATGTCGTCGCCCGAGGTGTCGCTGCTGATGCTGATGCTGAGCGAGTATTTGAGATACGAGCTGGGCAAGGCCACAGAGGAGGAGTACCGCGTCGCTAGGACCACCCCGTGTGAGCCCGTCTATGTGCAGTAGTGTTGGTGTGTTAATGTGTCACGGGCGAGTGATTTTTCGGTTCAGGTGTGCATCAATCGGATGCATCACATCATTCGGATGCTCGTTGTGTGTGCCGCTCCTGGGTGGTGCGCCCACACCCCTTTCTTTGCGTGGGGGACGGGAGGCCGTGGTGCATGCAGCTATGTGTGTGTGCTGTGTGCGCCGTGTGCCTGGTTGGTGTCTACTAGCTATGTGTGTATGTGTCTTGTGTGTCGGCGAGCGATAGACACGTGGGCAAAGGGATTACATAGGCGAACGATGCGTTGAGTCCCACAGACAGACAGACAGACAGGTGGCTGGCCGACTACATAATGACAGGCGTCGGCCAATAGAGAAGAAGCCGGAAAAAGTCTCATCCAAGATCTGAAGTCCTGGATGCACCCAAACAGTCTACAGGCCAGATAAAAGGCCCGTATACAAACCACTCATGCCACCTAGAAAACTCCCCCCCCCCCCCCCCCCCCCCCC